TTAACATTTTTTTTTAAAGATTTATTTATTCATACAGAACTAGGGTACAGGCCAGAGGCTCAGGGGCCGCGAGAGGCTTCACCAGAGACAGAGTGGGGAGCAGAACAGGCAGATGGATGAAGTACACTGCTGAGGGGAGCAGCGGGCGGGTAAGGAGAGGTCTGCCATGCCATGTGGTCACCTCTGGGGCAGGCGGGAATCGAACTCATGCGGAAGTGGCTTTAGCTTCTCAGTGCTGTGCTTTAACCCACTGCGCCATCAGAGAGGGCCCTCTTAAACATTTTTAAAAGAGTGAATTGACTTTAGACATACAGGTAACTTTGTCACACCTGGGAATTAGATGTGGACTTATTTTTGGCTATTACTCTTCCTAATACAGTGAGAATTCATTATAATAATTTTGTAAACTATTTCAAAATTCTGCAAATATATACTTGTCAACTGATAATTTGTGAATACATAAATACTTCAACTTCCCCTCTTGCTTTAACATCCTAACAAATACTACTTTAATTTTTATCCATTTAGAAATAATATTACTAAATGAGAAATTTAGTAATATTATTAAATATTACTAAAGATGAACACATTTTACCATTATACTCATGACTAGACTTTGGCAAAATTTTTTTATGTTATCGTAAAAAAAAAAAAAATCTTAATTCTGGGGACTCTGAATAGTGAAAATTTTTATAAACTTATAGTTTCTCAACTGGGTTCATATTAGAGCTCATTCACTCTTCTATTAATATGTTATTTGCAGAAGTTGACAGAGGAAGATTTTACATTTACATAAATAACTTGGTTATGAAAAATAAATTGATATTTCAATTATATTCTTCCAACAAACTAGGAAATACAATATGTCAAATAAAAATAACTTAATTATTTCTTTTAGTAATGAGTATAATGGTTCTGTAAGTTTCTCCTACTTCATATCTCTCATTTTCAAATAAAGTGCCTATTTCATAGCATGGTGAGTGAATTAAATTAGTATAGTGGGTAGATATTTATAAAAATGCAAACTCCAAAATAGCAGTTAATATAATTTATTAAGTTATCTACAAGACATACACTGAACATATTTTGTAATATTTCTGAAAAATGTTTCATTTAGTAATATTATTTCTAAATGGATAAAAATTAAAGTAGTATTTGTTAGGATGTTAAAGCAAGAGGGGAAGTTGAAGTATTTAATTTCATGCATTAAATACATATTTATTAAGCTTAATTTTGGTGTGGGATCCTATACATGTCAGTGGAGACTGAAATTTAAAATAAAAATATCTTAAATATGAGAAAACACAATCATGGCTACTTGTTTAAGGATGTTAGAGTAGGAAGCATGTGCTTTGACATAGGTAAAAATACATCAGGGCCCAAGACACCTAACAGATGCTTCCAGATGCTTTATAATCCCAGGATTTTATCTGAGATGACAGGGTAGAATGGAAATCCACCCAACCTTCAGAGTTGTCAAAAGCAGTGTACAACTCTACATCTTCTGCTTAATCTGTGGCTTCTGACAAATTCCTTAAGCTTGTTAAAACTTTTATTTCATATGTGAAATGTGTTTAATTAAATTACACAATTGATTCTAATATAATCTATTTAAAGAAACAGGACCACAGTAGGCTTTTTAAAAATTCTGTAAATATATGTATCCCCATAAATATTAGAAATTTTTATTGATCAACAGTTGGTTTTGAGTAAACATTGATTTTATTTTCAACACTTAAAACAAAATAACCAACATAATTTCTTCTTTACGTGTCCCATCTCTTGCAATATTTCAAATTAGTACATAATTTAAACTTTATTAAGGCATATAACTTTATGCAGTCATATAAAATATGTAGATTCTATTCTTATCTTGTTTATCTCAGGAATGAAGTAATGATAACTGTTGATGAACTTTTAGTGTTGTTATTTGTCCGTTAGTTTTGCCATTTCTAAGACAAATAGCTTGTATTTAATTCTCAAAGGATGACCTCTAGAAATAATGATGAAAACTGACATAGTTTCAACCACTCTAAAAGATTAAACTTCTGTAAATGGCTGGAGTCTTGTAGCTTTAATTTTAATTAAGAAAACCTTTTTCAAAGTGAAGAGAGGGCATAATGGACGATGGCAGAGAGCTTTCCATACCTCAAAGGTGGGTGTGAGGTGGTAACATATACCTAAAATGTGTGTTCATATACCTCCAAATCACACACAGTTGCAAACCAATGACTCCTCAATAAAAGTAGTCTTTTTCATAATGGAACATGGATTTTTTTTTTTTTGCATGATCTTTTTATTACAGTACATTCTATTTGTCATAAGATTTATTTTTACTTATTTATACATACAAGAACTTGGGTATAGGCTAGCGATGCCAGGAGTGAGAAGATACACAAGAGACAGAGTGGGGAACAGAACACTAAGATCTACTCAAATATGCTGCTGAGGGGAACAGCAGCTGAGACAGGAGAGGTCTGCTGAGCATGTAGGTCAGTTCCCTGGAGGGGATTGAACTCATGTTGAAGTGGCTGGCAATAGCTTGGAAGCGCTGAGACTGCTGTGACACCAGGGAGTCCTCAAATGCAGTGCATTCTCTAAATCTGCTAAATCTGTACTTCTTTTTAAATTTTTTTTTAAGATTGGGCCCTCCCTGGTGGCGCAGCGGGTTAAAGCACAGCACTGAGAATCTAAAGCCGCTTCCGCATGAGTTCGATTCCCGCCTGCCCCGGAGGTGACCACATGGCGTGGCAGACCTCTCCTGACCTGCCCGCTGCTCCCCTCAGCAGTGTACTTCGTCGATCTGCCTGTTCTGTTCCCCACTCTGTCTCTGGTGAAGCCTTTCGCCGCCCCTGAGCCTCTGGCCTGTACCCCAGTTCTGTTTGCACAAATAAATAAATCTTTTAAAAAAAAAATTTTAAAGATTTATTTATTTGTGCATACAGAACTGGGGTACAGGCCAGAGGTGCAGGGACAGTGAGAGAGTTCACCAGAGACAGATTGGGGAGAGCAGAACAGGCTGACTGATGTAGCACACTGCTGAGGGGAGCAGTGGGCAGGTCAGGAGAGGTCTGCTGCGCCATGTGGACAGGGAGGAAACCAACTCACATAGAAGTGGCTTTAGCTTCTTAGTGCTGTGCTGTGCTTTAACCCGCTGTGACATCAGGGAGTGCCTAAATCTGTACTTTTATATTTTCTCTATTTGTGTTTGTGGTTTTAGACATAAGTCAGGGCCTAATAAATATCTCATTCTGCATGATGACATTTCTCTTGCTACAAAACAATTTCCTGAATTGGTAGGAATTTTACAAAGAACAAAAATGTGACATAGTGAGGTATAGTATTGCAGGTCACTGGCATAATCTACAGTTTAAATTTGTACTGGGTGGCAGAATAGAGTCTAGGACTCAGTCCAGTATGTGGGCTGATGTATGTATAAAAAACCCTAAGAATTTCTCCCAAGGAAGTGAAATTACCTCACAAAACTTTCTTTAACCATGTCGGGGAATGAAAGGGGCAGAGAAGATGGAAGAGATGGGTCAATAAGACAGTTGGGAAATGAAAAATTTCTATAATGAAGAGTATTAGTTAGCAATAAACAGTTTCTCAAAATTGTAATTTACATATTTAAGCAATTCTTCCATTCTTGATCTCAGTATCAAACAATACCTCTTCTAGTAGCTACTAAGATAATTTGTTGATTTAGAATAAACAATAGCAATGAAGTTTGGAAAACTACATTTAAATTTCCTTGTGTTACTATTGATACTTAGTATAATTACACTAATCACGTAACCGCTTTAGTTCTCAGTTTCTTTATCATAGTGAGGGAGTTATACTAAAGTACCTTCAAGAACAAATTCAGTGTTTGAGATTTGAGTATGTTGGCTCTGGTTTTTAAGCAGTCTGTTGATATATGGAGTAAAACATGAAGATACTTGCATGCTTAGGTATTTAGACACTTGAAAAGAGAAACCTCTACAACCAAAATAAATATTTAGCAAAAAAAAAAATACATAATAATAATAAACTTAAAAATTTCAATGAGAGCAACTATATATGCCAATAGATTTGTTACATATAAAACTCCTAACACCTTGAATTTGTTTTAATAGAACCTATTTTTGTTAAAATATTCATGTAAGATTAAAATCTAAAGCATACGGACATTTTGCTTCACAAGCAATTACAATTTCTCTAGTACATTCTAGCTGGAAAACTGTTTAGAAGTCAGAAGTGCTAATGGACTAATATTAATATATAATAATTAGGTAGTATCCATATACTTAAAAGAGGGAGCCAGAATAACAAGCATAATATTCCAGTGGTAAAAAATATAGCAAGACATCACTGAAGATATGCAATTTCCAGGAAAGGACATGCTGAAAAGAATTTAAAATATATTATTATTAAGAGTTTTTTGGTTCTAAACCAGATTTGTAGCTCAAACAAAGCCAAGTAAAATATATAATATCCGTGGTTCTGGTTCTATTTTGGGTCTCATTAAATGTAAATATAAGATTTAATATAGTGTATAAATGTATGAGTTGTTTAATAAACTTAAAATGTTCTACATACTATTTTAAAGTTAAGGAAACTTGGTCACAAATTGCTTTTTTTTTTTTTTTTTTAGATTTATTTATTTGTGCATACAGAACTGGGGTACAGGCCAGAGGCTCAGGGGCGGCGAGAGGCTTCACCAGAGACAGAGTGGGGAACAGAACAGGCAGATCTATGAAGTACACTGCTGAGGGGAGCAGCGGGCGGGTAAGGAGAGGTCTGCCACGCCATGTGGTCACCTCCTGGGCAGGCGGGAATCGAACTCATGCAGACGCGGCTTTAGATTCTCAGTGCTGTGCTTTAACCAGCTGCGCCACCAGGGAGGTACACAAATTGATATTTTTATCTTGGCCTTCTTCCCTGCCTCTCCCCATATATTAAAAAATAGTACCCTTATATTTATTTAACATATAAAATAAAAAAAATAATATTGTCAATATTAATATTTTAATATTTAATATTTTCAAATTTAAGTGTAGTACTCAACAGACAACTGTATTTGTTTGAATAGAAATTTAAGTAGTAGGCTTAGATAGCATATTGGGCTCTAATATGATAACTGTGAACTTAACATATCACAACTTCAGGGTATCACCCTCTTTCGTGGCCCTCAGTTTCTGTAGCAGCTTTTGTCAGTCTCTGTAAACAAGAGATACATACAGAGTTGTTATTTTGTTATAAGGAGAGATATATATTTTTGATTGAAGAAAACTGCTTTAAGACATCATTACGGTTAGAATTCAGCCTAAGGAGAAAAAGAAAAAAAAATGTAATACATACATGTTCCTACTGAATATTGTTTTAATGCTGATTTTGACAGTAATAAAGACTGTAGATACTATAGTGCAGGCAGAGTTTATCTTGCTATTTTGTAAATGACACTTGACTGTCTCTCTTCTGGAATTTTATAGTAGTGATTTTGAGAAAACTGATCATCTGAAGTGAAGTGAACTCTTACCAATGGAATTTTAATATCAGTTATTTCAGGTGAGGTTAAGGTTACGTTTGTATCAGGAACATATTATGTGCTAATTCACTTAGTGTTTTTCATCAAAATTTGGGGTGAGGGGCATGTAGTGGAAATAATGGAGGAAAGAATAGAAAACCTAAAAGATTTGCAGCAATGGAGAGAAAAAAAAAATAGCAAGAATAACTCCCCAGAAAAAATATATTCTACAATTCAAAATTGCAATCAATTTGCTTACAGTAAATCTTTAAATTTTCCTATTCAAAAGGATATTTTACATTGGAAAACCATGTTCACACAATTTGTGAGATTTGTTGCTCAGTGTTTTCTGGCATATGATGCAAGCACAATGGAGTTGTTTGGCTTCTTCCCACTCTATACCCACCCTCTCTTCCATAATGAGCATGTACATGCTGGGGGTGCTAGAGACTCATGAAAAGCAGAGGGCTTTATGAATGCATAGTTGTCACCACCAAAGCAAACAACTACTTTGGATGTTAGGAGTTTGTATGCAGAACTGGAACCAAGATGCATGCTTCAGTAAGGGATTTCTACTCGTTTCAACTTACCTGGTAGATGTAAAAAAAAAAAAAAAAAAAGACATACACATCACATTCTCATTTCTGTAACTGAAAGAATAATATATTTTAGAACATGGCAGAGGTATACGAAAAAAAAAGGTATATGAAAAATAGACACTAGCTACTACCTGAAACTATTTTCTTTATATTCAGAGAGCTTATAGGAAATAGGGAAGATATGTAAGTATTCCATTAGCAGGCAAATAAAATCAGCTCTGCCAGTATTTTGGTTTTAAAGGTAAAGAATGAAGATCTTAAAGTCTTCACATTTGTCCGCTTAAAGCCCCCTACTTCAAATTCTCCCTTAGTGCTACTATTATCCTAAGGAGGAAAGAAAATTTCCACTGACCCAGCTCGTGATTTACATACAGAGAGCAAATAAATGAATGGAATGGGGGATGGGGCAGTACTTCCTTTTCATCCGCAGAAAATAAGATTACTTACCAAGAACATTTATATCCAGGGCAAACGCTTATTCCCTCTATCACTCTTCGCCTCCGTCTCTGAAAAAAAAAAAATCAATTTCCATTCTACCTTTCCTTCCTATTTCTAAAATAGAGAAAGAGGCATATAATTCTTGTGCTTCAGGGCCCAGAGGAAGACAGAGCAGAGGGCAAAAGACTCCCAGAGCACTCTTCATCCAAATCCTAGCGTTGAGACTGACCCGGCAGGGAGGGAGGGACCTTTTCTAAGAGGGTACCAGGGGTGTAGAACGGGGATTCATTTCACAGCCCAGACATAAGTCATCTCCAAAGCGAATTCACACATGCAATTCCCTAGAGGAAGTTGCTTTCACAGAGAAAAGGGAAGTTACTGAATATGATGAGCGAGAGAGACAGGCAGAGACACAGACGGCCGTCAGACAGACGACAGATAGACAAACAGACACACACCACACCACACACACGCACACACACACACACACACACACACAGAGAGAGAGAGAGAGAGAGAGAGAGAGAGAGAGAGAGAGAGAGAGAGAGAGAGAGAGAGAGAGAGAATTTGGGAGGTTTTGTTTTGGAGAGGGAATGGGGCCATGGAGAGGAAGTGGGAAAAGGAATAGCGCTAACCTTACCCGATCGATCAGGCGATCATTTGGTGCGGTATCGGGACACAAAAATGGCAAGATAACGCCTTCGGCTGCAAAGCCATTCCTAGCGCACTCTGCCTCTGCCTCTGTACAGGAATCAGCGGGGACGCGGGAACCCCACAGCCTGCCACATGCTCCCCCAGGGACAGTGGTCAGAATCTCCAAAGCTTCCACTGCCAGGCATGGGAAGCTGAGATTTCGGATGGAAGTCAGTTGCGGCGAGTGGCAGGCAGCAAGATTTCGCCGAAGGAGCAGGACCCACAGGGCTCCTGCTGCCGCGGCGGTAACCGCGGTGTTCCACCACCCTGGTCTAAGCCACTCCGCACAGCGCCCCCCAAAGCGCCGGGCGACTCGGCCACAGCCGCATCTTCAAGCCTTTCGCTTCCCTGCCGCCCCCTACCCGTACCCGCCCTTAAAAAAAAAGAAAAAAGAAAAAGAAAAATCGCTGGTGATTTGGTCATTCTGAAGTGACCAGTGGTTGATTTGGGGGGATTCGTGTAGTGGGCTTCTTTACTACGTCTTCCCCAGTCGCGGCTAGCGAAAGGGTTCAAGGAAATCCTAGTGAAATGCACTGATGGAATACTTATAATTCTAGCAATCATGTTCCCAACGCAGGTAACTCTTACGGAACTAAGAGTGGGAAGATGAGTGCAGGACTTCCGAAACGGTGCCCTCTCGAATTCTCATTGGATCCTTCCCAGCAGCCTAAATCATCCCTGCCGCTCCATCTATCGGATGACTACATAGGCTTCTCACTAATTCTCTCTTCATCTCCTTGTCCTCACCACATCCCTTTACTCTCTTTGCAGATTTAACTGTATTCTACTTCCTGCTCTCTGGGTTACCACGTTTCCACTTATGTCCGCTCTATGAGGAGGTACAATCTGTAAATTTTCACTTTGCCTGCCTAAGGACCCTCAAATAAGCCCTACCCCGCCCCCCCCTTGGGAAACAAACAAAAAACAAAAACACTTTCACATTTTGCTTCTCTTCTTTGGGGGGGTTCCTGGCTCTGCAGGTAACTAGGTTTTACTTGGTTACATGCCACCAGGAACTGCTGATTATTTCAAAGTTCCAATATCCTGCAGCTCATCACTTTACCTTAATTTGGAGGATCATGGAATATCTGATTGAATCCTGGATATATTTTTCTCACAGTCATCTTGCTTCCTGAAATTTCCTCTGGTAAGTTATCTTTATTTGTTATTAGAAACTTATCAACAGTTTTTTTTTTTTAGACGTGTTGCTTTTTAAATTTGTTTTCCTTTCAGAACTTAAAAATCTATGATGTGACTATGTATATGAAGTAGCATATTGGTTGTAAGTGTGCTAAGATAGTGCCCTTGTAGTGAATTACTCCATCACCTTTTATATATTATTATTGTCCTCATTTATATGACATCTTATTGGGAATATTAACCACCCAACACCCTCCTATTAATGTTTTCGGTACACATTCCTATGCCATTTGAAAGGTCAAATTTTATATGTTTATCTAGGACTGATATTAAAAGAGACCTTCTGACAATTGCAGGGTCTGGGAAAGTTCACTAGTCTTTGATCTTCAGAAGGTCGCTCAGGTCAGTATATATTTATTGCAAGCAATTACATGACAAGGGAGGACTTTTGCAAAATGCATTTTTATAGGTTTACCAGGACAAGAAACACTAAAAGCCACTATAAGGTAAGAAAAGGAGTGTTGAGTTTTGAGTGCACCATTTTTTTTTTCTCTTACATCCCAAATCACACATGAAGGCATTATTCTGGACATGGCATTTCCACTCAGGCATCATAGTTACTAGGAGTGCATTTCTGATATGTGAATTTAGCTGGTGAACAGTTAATTGGCCACGGAGTGCTCATTTCAGAGGAAGAGAGCTATTAGAAGAAAGCACTGATTATGCTGGTTCTAAGAAATTTAAATTCATGGATAGACTTTACATGAAAAAATTAATTGCCATACTCTTCACACTCTTCAGCCCTCAGACTTAATTTTTAATAACTATGTTAATATACCATTTTTTTGCTTTTATGAATATTTTTATGGGCTTCACTGACAGTTATGATTACACTTCCCCTTTAAGTGTAGATGTGTCGAGAAACATTTAAATCTTTGTTTTTACTTCACATATCGACAAGGACACAATATTCATTAAATGCCAAATCTGCATGTATCTATAATCTCTAATGCAGACTGGTGGGTTGGGGGGGGTTGGGTGTTTTTCCTGTGACCCACTCCTTTAATCCCCTACAACCCTCCCACCCCCCATTAGGAACAAGTTCCTGGTTTCCACAACATTTCCCTTTTTGGGGATACATGGAGGTGAGACGCTATTGTTCAAGCTTTTCTCCTTTCTTCTTCTTTTTTTATTTCTCGGAAGAACTATCCCAGTCATCATTGATAGCTGACGCGACAACCTAAGTAATGCTTTTTTAAATTCAAGAGCCCTTTTAGCTTCTAGACATCAGAGTGTTCCCGCTGCAGCGTCACCCCATCCCACCCCATCCCCCAGTCTCAAGAGTCAAGGGCTTTTCCCTGTGGGTTCCCACTGAGCTGAAACCGTGGTCCCGGGCACTTGGCGACCCTTACCCGTCACTAGTTTCTACCTGGTCTCTTTCCCAGTGAAGTGGTCCTGCCTGACAAGTGCCATCAGCTTCCGTGACTTCCGTGGGAGAAGCCAGGGCTGAGCGTAATCCACCAATTCAAACATCCTCTTTGGAGGACTGCTGCTGTTGCGCAGGGGTGGGGGGGGGGGACCCAACTTTCGGTGCAGTCAGAGCTCTGCTTCTGACCCTAGTCTACTCCAGTACAGGCACAGGCGTGCCTTCTTTAGGTAAGTGAGTTTTCGCTGGCTGATCATCTGCCCCCGAGCAGGTGAGGGGTATTGATCGTGGAGCAGGCGCCGGTGGAGCCAAGGACGGTTTCAGCTGAGGGCAAGCAACAGGCTAGTGTGCCTGGAGATTTCTCCGCAGCTCCTGGCAACGCCTAAGCCACCTGGGCACAGCGACGCGAGGGCCGGCGTCCGGTGGACTGGCTGACCCTAGGTTGGTGCGGGGTGTGGGGTGGGGGGCGCGCGCGGGTGGGCACGGTGTGCCCCCTCGGACCCGCGGCCGCAGGCTCTGTTCTCAGCCCCTGCGGCGAGCGTCTGCCGGGTGGGCGTTTGCAGCCGGGGAGAGCTGGGTGCGCCGGGTTTCAGCCTGGTTGAATGCGACCTTCTCCCCCCACCCCACTCCCCCGCCCCGTACCCCCAGCCCCGGGAACTTAAGCAGAACCGCATTTTCTCGGCCGGAGGACGGACTTGAGAGGTCTAAAATGTCATCAATGCCCTTGCGCGTTTGCATCTATCTACTGCCTATCACCTATTTTTAATGAGCTTTACCCTAGAATGAAACGATGGCTCCTTTTGCTTGCCCGCTTGATTAAACCTTCCTCCCGTCTTCCTCCGGTTATTCAGCGGCACTCAGATTTGCTCCCTGACTTCTCAGGCTCTGTGTTAAAAACGTGGTTGACTGTGACTCCCTCCCTCCCTTCACCAACTCTCTAGAATCCCCTGGGCGGTGGGGTGGGGGTGGGGGTTGGGGAAGTTGGATTTCAACTTGGAGCTGGGGCCGGGAGTAGAGGTCGAAGTTCAAAGCAAAGAGTGGAGGTTTGGAGCTCTGAAGCTGCTATTGTACCCACTTTCAAGTAGGGCTCTCATTTTTGTCCCCCCCCCCCTTTTCCTGGAGGTGGGGTGGGTGGGATCTGGACCCAGAGCGCTCTCCTCGGCGGTCCACCCCCGAGGGGGTGGCGCTTCTCGGCTGCTCGTGGCTGCTGATTCTGCAGCCAAGCAGAGACAGAGAGTTTACGTCTCTGATGGTTGTTCTCGCGTCCCCAAGAGTTGAACCTGGGAGCATTTTACTTTGCACCAGGTCGTGAACGTGATCAGCCCTTTAGAGCAGGGACCTCCTTCTAATGGGAATCCGGCTGGCATACGCTGGGCAGGCTCCACCTCGGAAGAGACTATGAATGTTTCCAGCTGTGTGAGATGCCCACCGGCGGTTTGGAAAGAGGAAAAGGTGATTAAGGTTGCAAAATAGCCCTATTACTGCTAACAGATATCCTAGCCAGTCAAGTGTATGTAAGCAAAGAAGACAGCGTCTGAGTATAAAACTGTCACAGCAGCTTCACAGACAAATGATTCAGATTTGGGGGAGTTTTTTTTTTTTTTTTTCCTTCCCCCCTTGCTATTTAGATTTGTTTGTCATCATGCAGTTAAGCAGGTAAGGACTGAATATGTACATTTTATCAACAGTCTTATTAGCGGGGGTTGACCCATCCTGTGACAATTTTTTCCCTGTTTCAAGTGATGAAGTAAATGCGTTTTCAAATGATTTTGCTATGATACTTAACTTTGCAATATTCACATCCGCGGACTACTTAAATTCATGCAAATGCTTATTCCTTCTTTTAATGTTCATTCATCAAAACGTTTAGCAATGTTACAAAAATTCTAAATCTAGCTGAGGTGACGGTAGGAAATGAGAATGGTGGTGCGTTAAAGGAAAGGGTGCACTAGCCTGAGGAAGTATCGAATGAGTAGTTTCAGAGTTGCCTTAACACACTGCTTCTTGTTAAGGTCACAGACTTGAGTAGTTAAAAGACAACTGGAAATCTATTAAGGGCATTTTGAAGTAGCTATTTAATTCTGACTTTATGAGAGAAGTGCTTTTGTGGATATTTGCTTGTTATTTTGTCAATTAAAAAAAATCTATAGGATGGGGGTGGGGGCAAGTCTATTGAATTGTCAAATTGGATGAAACAAGAGAGCTTGCTACTCAAAGAAAATGTTTTCTGTGATCCCACTGTGTGAATATTTGAATTTAGGAGACCAGTTGGAAACTGAGACATCTCCCACAAATACAACTTTTGCTTAAATTCCACGTTTTGTAGATGTATAATTTTAGCAGTCAATAGATTTCTTCCATTACTTCAAAAAGAAAATACCCAGTGACAAACAACTTTGGATGTTTTAATGTTTTGTTATTATTGCATTACTTTGTTTACCTATTTACTTTCTACCATTACTGTCTGGAGTCTCCATTTAAAGAATGAAAAAAATATTAATAAGATACTGCCCTAAAAAGATAAATGTAACATTTATCTCTAACACTTTCTCTTCTTAAAGAAATTATGTTCTCAAAGACTTTCTTTGTAAATATTTTTACTACTCACACCTAGTGATGTGCCTTGGTAATCCTTAACTCTCTGCTTGTAAATCACCCTGATAATATCATGAAGATAAAATAT